TCTGTGTGTCTGCCTGTCTGTCTGTCTGTCTCTCTGTCCGGCTGTGTCTGTCTGTCTGCTGTCTGCCTGTCTGTCTACCTGCCTGTCTGTCACAGTCTTTCACTGCACTGACTCCATGTGTTAACAGGCGGAGGAGGAGTTCAACATAGAGAAAGGTCGACTGGTTCAGACTCAGAGGGTGAAAATAATGGGACACTATGAGAAGAAGGAGAAGCAGATTGAACAACATAAGAAAATGTGAGTCCCTGGTCATTTAGGTCATAGATCTCCACGAACACAGACAAATTAAGGAGAGCACATACCTCCACCACGGCCCAACAGTCCCCGTAAATTCAATCAAGCTGCATCAAGCTGCACACACTGGTTTAAATCAGTTCTGTCAATATGCTAAATTTTTCTGTCAGGTTTTCTTGTATTTCCTCATTGTTTCCCTCCCTGTGCTCACCCCTAATTATAAAGATTCACTGATGGCCTCTTACCTGCTTCTTAAAATCCAGTTTAATCGGCTTGAACACAACGTGTTGTAAGAACTGTCCATCACACAGAACAGCCATGTTGCTGTCTTACATGTTAATGTGTGTGCACCCAATTTACTCATTACCCTTTTCTCTCCCACTCTCACAGCCAGATGTCTAACCTGATGAACCAGGCGAGGCTGAAGGTGCTGAAGGCCCGTGACGACATGATCGGGGTTAGAGATCAGCTTTTCACGTCGCGCAACATTTACAATCATGACACAGTTGTATTCGTGAGAAAGCATTGTGTGCTTATGTTCACATGTCACTAGTGTGTATGTTCAGTTGGGTCTACTTCCCCAATATGATGGAACAGAATGTCTTTTAATTTATGGTCCTAAGATCATAACATTTATCTTTCACCACAGACGAGTTACTATATTTTTATCAGCTTTACTTACTTTAACATGTACCTTATTTCATAAATGTGTCTAATCCCACTCTATCATTTGTTTTATCTGTGTCTTCCGTCTCAGGATTTGCTGAACGAGGCTCGTCAGAGACTTGCAGAGATCGCCAAGGACCCTGCGAGGTACTGCACCCTTCTGGAGGGCCTCATACTTCAGGTAACTTCTCCCAGCTGCTGTCGCACGTCTCCGATCGAGTGGTTTGCTTCCTCAGTTTGTGCATTTTTACTTTCAGGGATTCTATCAGCTGCTGGAGCCAAAGGTTACCATTCGCTGTCGACAGCAGGATGTAGAAATGGTTCAGGTGAGGTTGGTGTGTAATTATGGGATTTCTCAAACAGGTTGTTCCGTTGATCACAGAGAATTACCAAAGCTTCACCGACGACAGTGTTGTGTCTTTCTGGTTTATTACATGATAGGCTGCAGTCAATAAGACCATACCGATCTACAAAGAGGCAGTGAAGAAAAACATTGACGTCAGAATTGACCAAGACCGTTTTCTTTCATCAGAAATGTAAGATGATTTAATGTACTTCATTCATCAACCTTTACTGTTTCAACTTTTTAAAGTATATTGTCAGATTACTCTGTTTTTATTGAGACTATGATTGAAATAGGTGAAGAAAAGAAGTACCTCATCTCTGATATTTATAAGAAGTCACTGCTCTTTGTTTTAACAGCTGCGGAGGAGTGGAGGCGTATAATGATAATGGGAAGATCAAGGTTTCCAACACGTTGGAGAGCAGGCTAGAACTTATGGCTCATCAGGTAGAGTAACTTTTACTAAATGTCTGAAATACAAATCATCGTTTCTGGTCTTAATGACTTTCTACAACTAGTTTCTGCTGCTCGCCTGTAGAGGGCAGCACAGCCCACCGTGCGAAATATATTACATTAAGGATAGAGAGTTGAAAGTGATAAGTTTCCAGTGGTGGAGGAAGTACTAAAAGTTTTTGTTTGAGTAAAAATAATAATAGTGAAAGCACCACATTAAATGTTCTACTTGTGTAAATCAAGCAAGTACCTGCCTTTAAATATACTTAACGTTTTAAAACTCAAAGTACTTTCCAAGTGTATCCTCTTCCCTAAGACTACCGTCTACTGCATCATTAACTGTGGTGTATTTTTTGATTAAGAATAATACAGACTAGAATGCTGAATATGATGCTACTGAAAACAGTTGTATTGTCATATTATTTACTAAATGGCTGAGTCTCTGCAGTGGCTTCTTTTGAATCCATTTTAGGTGAAATCTAATGCATGGAAAAAATATATTGGAGTGTTAAGTACAGATATTTGCTGATATGTGTAGTGGAATAAAAGAGAAAAAGCACCTGAAGATAAATCTACTGAAGTAAATTCAGGTGCATGCAAAATGTATGTAAATGTATAGTTACAAAGTAAATGTACTTTGTTATATCCCACCACAGTCTGTAAGTTAATATTAAACTTTTTTATCTGTCCATAAAATACACAAGAAATAAATATTGAAGCATAGGTGACGTTGATTCACTAATTTACTTCAATAGTTTACTCAGGTTTTTTCCTTCCACTTTCTTGTGTGAGTGTTTCTTACTTGTATCCTGACGTTACCTCTGACAGATGATGCCTGAGGTCAGAGTGAACTTGTTTGGTGCCAACCCCAACCGCAAGTTCACAGATTAGCAGTGGATTTGAAGAGGGAGCAGTGTGGACACAGATGGAATATTTAAGGTGACCACAGACTATCACAGTGTTCAACAGCCTGCACATTCACCTGCCAGTCATCAGGGTCAAAGAAAAGCCAGATTTACTTAACAGGATGCTTTGCATGTCCTCATATATCTTTTTTATTTTTGTACTATGGACTTTGTTATAATTCAACTTGAGCTTTTACGTTTTAATTGCCGTCTTATTTTACTTACGGGTTGTCTAACGGACTGCTTGCAATGGCATTGAAAATATATATTTCCCTCCATTGTTTTGGGTAAAGTTTGGTTTCTAACTTATTAAATTGACCAAAGCGGCATGTTTATGTCACCAAAGATACACATGGGCCATTTAACTGAACATTTTCTGTAGATTAAAGCCTTTAGTGAGGTTGATTATCTGTGTTCGCCAAACAATATTTTGAATATAGATCCTTTTAGGTAGTTTGTATCACACTGATGTTTGTGTTCATTTTTGTGGTAAGTTTGATATCAATTAGTTATTTGATGGTATAAAAACCAGGTGAAACATGATGATTGACAATTGAGAATGACTCGATCAGGTGAGTGCGTGTATCTGCAGGACCCCAATATCTCAGCTCCACGCCACAATCACTACTTCAGAGACTGGCTCCATTTTATGTCAGAAGCACAAGATGGCAGAACCTGTATCTCAGATAGTTTGACCTTATTTTTGTACAGTCTATGTCAGGGTCGTTGCGATGGGGGAATATTTTGGCTTGTTTGTGTGAGTGGAGACACGTCGTCCATCTTTATGTACAGTCTGTGGCGTGTAGACACAGACAGGATGTTTTCAAATGTTGTGAAGCACAAAAAAAAAACAAAGAAATAAATTCACGTGACACAGAAACCAGCATGTATGACATCTTTATTTACAGCTTGTAAACAAACAGTTTACTCAGGCTATGTTCACTCTACAATGAGGAAAATGTAGTAGCTTAGGTGCACTAGCCACATCAAAATGTGTCCTTCATTAAAAATGTAAAAAAAAGCTTTTAGTGCCACCCAGTGGACTTAAGTAATGGCAAACAGTTGGCAAGACATGGTGCCATACTCCCTCCATGGGTCTAACAAGTACAATCGTCCTCACTAAACTGGACTCAAGTATGAAAACAATATTTCAACACCACCACTTACAGGTTTGATGCTTTAGAATCTATCAGGAATGATAAGGCTTTAATTGCATTTATTTAATTAATGTGCGCACATCATTTGAAGCAACTTAAATGTTTTTCTATCTGTAACTAAGCAGTAAATACAGGCCTAGGCGTCTTACAGGTTTTATTTGAACCCCTCCAAGCTGTGAAGTAGAGCAAGTCAAGGCTACGAGACAGTGGCCCGGCAGTCTAACCTGTGGCCTTTAGGCAGGAAGTGATCTGAGTGTTAGAGTATATTGTACACTAATACAGGGATTAAAGCATTACCGTCAGATTAACAAATGACCTTAAGGACCCTGGCAGGCAGCACCTCCCAATCCAGTGAGGCAATCCAAGATTACAACTCGGACCTCACGGATGGAGTGGGAGTAATGCATAACAAGCTTGGCCAAAAGAGATCAAGCTCTTTTTTTCCAGAGAAATGCTTCGAAGTCGAAATCGAAGTCGACATCACTGGCATTTGAGGTTCAAGCCAAATACCCAGCTCAGATTCTGAGGTCAGATTTTAGGCAATCGTAGATTTTTTGTGAGATTAAAAGGGGAATTTGTCACTTACATTGGACGATGAAAACTTTGTCATCACGGCCACATGTGGTCAAATTGGTAGACATTTGATTTAGCAAACAACATGCAGCAGCTCTTTCTTGACCTTTGTGCATCCCTTTAAAAAACACAAAAATCTCATAAAAATATATTATTATTTTCCATTTTGGCTGAGTTAATTTTCTTATGAACTTCAGTCCTGATTTTTTGCCCCTTTTAAATACAATTAGTTTAGAAAATGTTAATGTTGAAAAAAAAAAATACTGTCCATATAACACATTTGTTTTGATTTAAAACTTGCAGTTCACAACCTTAGAGGACAAAACTATCTTTCAAATAAACTCCCAGAAAAAAATATGAATATTATTTCCACTTTGGTCTTTCCAATTATTAGTATTATTATAATTATTATTCATATACTAAACCATTTGCCCTTGGTTGATAGAGAGTATATCATCATATAAACATCTATGAAGACACCAAAGTACATCAAGTACAAAGATGCAAACATCTTCAAAGCTCAGTAGCTAATTTCAGTTAATGATTTCTCTGGATTCATTTGTGTCCTGAGTGTACACAATGTGTTATAGATGTATTATTGTGTTTGTTGAAAGTAACCCCCAGCCCTGGCTACATGTTTGCTGTATGTATTAACAACAACATGATCAAAAAAAAAGGAAAGGGACAAAAATGTCCCTAAGGATGCACAACTAGAGAATAATCTCTCTCAGGTGAAAGGAAGAGCCTCAGACATATTGCAGCGAGCACGCTGGGATAAACCTGACAACTTGGGACACAGATCCTCAGATTAGTCACACATACACAGGACCCAGTGTTACCGACAGGACCCTGCTGACAGCATGAAAAACCCACAGAAAAGTGATTAGCGTCAATTAGCTGGTCCACATATTAGTAATTAGAGCATCTTCATATCTCAGACCAGCAGACTGATCCTCTCTGGCTCTCTGTTTGTACACCGGTCACTCGGTTATGTCATCATGCATTCACTGCAGATTCAACCAGCAAATTAGTTGAACAGAGACGACACAATTGCTAAGCACTGCTATTCCAGCAAACCCAGCATTGCCTCCCCTACTCCGAGAAAGTAAACACCCTGTGCAATGCCGAAAAGAGGAGCGATGACCAGCGCACGACACGTTGCACCCTTCAGGAATGCTGCCGGGCCCTCCCGTCTCAGGATGCGCCTGCAAACGTTCACAGAAACATTGAGTAATTGTTAACAAAGCCTTTAAGCTTGCGAATTTTGGGAAACAAAAATTCTAACTGTAGGATATAGTCGTACCTTGTGCAGTCAACAATTCCTCTGTATGTGTCCTCCCCCTCACCTTTTTCCAAGGTCTGCAGACGAGTCTTTATTACTGTGTGGGTGATTAAAAGATGGATGCATTGTCATTGCATGAAGTGAAAGATGATTTCAAGTTAAAGTAAACAGCCTCTTTGGGCACAAATATTAGTAACTAGCCAAACTGATCTAGAGCATTTCATTACATTATTACATTACATAAATTCAGCTTTTTATTTAAGGTAGTGTCATTTAATCTCTTAAAAATGATAAAGTCTGTCTTTATAAAGGATTTTCATATTCCAATTATAAATGTATCATTCAAGGGAAGTTTGATTGAATGATTTATCTCGAGCACACCAAACTGAAATGAGGCATTATAACATTGAGCACATGCTGCCTGTTATTGTAGAAGAGAATATGGTATATGCACATTAGACTTTCAAGCGTTTAGCTCACCATCCAGTGGCGTTACCGCCACAGCTGCCACTGAGCCTGCGCTGCAGCCAGCCAAGAAGGACTGCCAGAATGGTGCCTTGGCCTGCACATCATCCCGGCCCAGCGCGTTAAGGTTGGCAAATAAAGGGAAGTAGATCATTGAGAAGGGAACATCCCTGAAAAGCAAGATTTAAAACAATGGTTAGTTTAACTGATGGTTGAGTTTTGATAAGGAAGAATTAGTGGGGGCGGGGGGGGTGTTTGGGAGAGAGGTAGAGAGACACTGAGAGACACAGCTCCATTCAGCTGGAGGACAGTAACCAGACATAACTGCAGGAATCTATTTGATCGGTGTTGACTGGCAGAGGAAATATAACAAGTTATGCAATTACAATCAACAGTCATCAAAGCAACGATAATAAAGTTGAATGAAGGAATAGACATTCTTTGGGCCTGGGCATGCAGTTGATGGTTTGTATGTCTGGAAGTGTGTTCAAAAAAGTCTAAGGAAAATGACAAACTCTCAGTCTCTCTCTTTGCTGTAGTTGTCAGATAGTAAATAGATATGAACATAAGTAAAATGTATTGTGAGTAAGTGGTTGAGAGTGTGTGTCGATGTGTCTGACCTCATTAACGTGGCCCCTGCTCCTCTGTAGAGTCCAGCCAGGCCACGAGTCTTCAGTAGCTCCACAGTGATGCCAGTGGCCGAGGGTCGGCGAGGAGGCGTCGGCCGGGCCTGCGTTGGGGTGGCCACCAACGACGGAGCTGGACCGGGAGCAGCAGCCTGAGCTGCTGTTGGCACAGGCCTTTGTGCAGCTGATGGATAAATGCAGTATCCCAGGTTAGCAAACACATGCAGACTTATTCAACCCTGCAGCCATCACTGTGCACGCTTTATATTATCAAACAAAGGAGTGCCAGCCAACCGTTTGGTATTCTAATTTTGTATTAAATATTTATATAACATTTTACTGAAGAGTAAACATGAATTATGGCTTATTTGTTTCGAAAAACATAATCCATTTATCTGGACCTTTCTCTTAATTTCATGGGTTCTTCCTTGTGTCATGCCCCACCCCTCTACAAAATGGAAATCAGTTGAGTAGTTTTTGCATAATCCTGCAGATGTCAGTGCATCCAATCCTTTAAAACTGGTCAATGTTTGTAAATAGCTATTATGGAAGAAGAGTTCCAAAATGACCAAAGTGAGCAACTCACAGAGTCGTCCTGCGTCCTGCAGCTGGATCTTCAGCATCTCCATCGGAGTGGTGACAACCACCTGACAGGTCCCAGCCCCACACCCTGCCAGTACCTCCCCCCACAGGGGCAAATGCCTGGAAACACAGTCAGAGCCAGTGATAGATACACAGAACAAGAGACAGTGGTGTGTCACTATCAGAATTATGAGAGCAATGAAACATGAATGTTTAACCAGTACTGAAGTCCCTGTAGATGTTTGCTTACCTTACCTTTTTTTTAAATAAAAAAACAATACTAATGTATATTGATTCCAATTTAATTGATTTAGTTTAACATTTGCTTAGTTTCTCTGTAGAAATATAATGAGACTAAAGCTGTTAAGAATCTGGTAATGCTATTGGTGTAATACAGCAAATATATAACAATAAAAAGTTATCGTAGTTATGTAAGACTAGGTTAAGGATAGGCACACTTGTGGTATATTGTGGCACAAATAAAATTCAGATGCAGCAGCAATATTCATTCAATAATTCAAATCATGAATTCATAATTCTTACATACTGAAATAATCAAAATAATATCTTATCATTGCATTTTAGATTTATCTCATGGTGATGGCGTTCAACGAAAATCTAGTTTTCTCATATCTGATTTGTTTAAGGAACAACAATAGGCGTAGTTCAGCAGACCAGGTTGATCTGATCTGTAGTTTGAGATTAGTTTCATGGACATCGATCCTATGATGTATCAGTTGTGTTACCCATCCTTCGAGAGCCTCTGTCTAAAGATGTCATTGGCAGCCAGCTTGATGGCTTTTTCTGGTGTGACGAGCGTGAGGTTCACTGCTGCACCTGGAAAAGACACAACAGGCTGATGACATAAACACACAACCATTTCCGCTACAGTACACACAAATAGAACAAAACCTACACAGCAGCTTATGGCTCACTGCTGTGGGCTAATGGCAGCACACACTGGCTATTATGATACAAAGATTTAGGGCTCACATGAGAAACAACAGCGTAGGCGGCCAGATTAAGCTCAATAGAAAAACATGGTTGTGGTGTTGTTTGTGACGGGGATTAGAAACGTAAAGAATACCTCTGTAGCATCCGAAATAGCCCTCTGAGCGAACCGTCTTTGCCAGACAATCCAGCCTTTAAAGACAAGAAAGGAAATAGAACAACAGTCAAATCTTTCACCATTATATCTGACATAAACTTCTGTCAAATCAGAAATATTATTCATTTGTCATCATCTTGGCCTTTTAAATAATACACCATGACCCAGTATCCTGTCCCAACAACTGGACCAATGTTCAAGAACTGTGTAAAGTCTCTTCTTCTTTGCAAAGGAAAAAAAAAATCAGGCCTGGTGTTTATATAATTCAGCCTTGAGGAGAATTAGTTTTCCTCCTACTTTTCCATGTCTGACTCACAATGGAAAACCACAGTCTGCTGACAACAGGATGGCCACACCCAGTCAGCCAGTCGTATTGATGCTCACCAGATTTGTGCAGCTAAAAATTCAGGGTCAGAGTCTTTTAAGGACACAGGAGCTGTGTTGTTCCTGCCATCTCTTTACTCTTTGTTCAATTAAAATCAAACCAAAACCTGAGCAAACTGAACTCATTCCTCTGATGTGATCCATGGGTGGATTCAGCACAATCCCTTCAAAACTCTGCACCAAATATGGGAAGAGTGTTCAGATGCATCAGCCTCTAAGACTCATTGGAGAAGTATGTGCAATGTGGTGATCTAAGTTATGTTGTGTTGTGGGTAGCTCAAATTAGAGTGCTGTCAACCAGAGAGCACATGTGAAACCATTTAACGCCAGGAAGATGCAGATATTTCAAACTGGTTTTAGACTTTTACATTACTTTTGCACATATTTGCATGTAGAAAAAGTATCAGCAGCCCTGCAACTACTTTAACTATTATTTTAGAGGCTTTTTTGAGACTTTTTGCAGTAATAACAATTCTAAATGTATAATTCAGTGATGCTAAGAGTAAAAGAGATGCCTCACCCTAAGAGATTCATTGCAAAAGTATGTGGGACGTGGTAATCTAAATAATATTTTGTTAGAGAGCTGTTTACTAGAGAGCACAGGAGAAAGCATTTACCTCCTTGACAATGCAGATATTTTGAAAAGGTTTTAAAGTTTCAGATGTTGTTTATGCAGATAATTCCATGCAAAAAAAATACTTCAGCAGCCCTGAAAGATACAAATATTTTACTAATCTGAAATTCTTATCTTTGTTTATATTTTTATCTCCAACATCAATTATAGTGGGTTAGCTCAGGCCAGGGGAGCCCTACTCACATTCCTTTGTAGACTTGGACGCCCTGCTGGTTCTGTAGGCGGGTCTTGGCCAGGTCAATAGGAAACACACATGTCACACCAACCAGGCCTGCCACGCCCCCATTAATCAGCTTAGCAGGGAGGCTGCAAGGGGATCAACACAGACACACGCATGCACAGACCCATTTACATGTATGACAACCGACACAAGCCATGCAAATGACCCATCCATTCATGGAAATAGAGCAGGCACATGGAGACACACACAAACGCACACACGCACACACACACACACACGCACACACACATGCACACACACATGCAAAGAATGTCAGACACCAACATTAACCAAGCTGCTGCTTCCAGCATGAACATATCTGTATTTAGTTAAACAGACCGGATAAAATTGCTTACCTAACTTTCTTCTCCGCCATCCTGCTCGTGTTTGGGCTCCAGGCCCAGGTCCACTACTCCTCTCCTCCTCTTACTCCTCCTCCAGCACCGACTTCTCCTCCTCCTCTCCTTCCTCCTACTTTTCCTTGTCCCTTCCGCACTCCGGCACAAAGTTGTTCCTCGCAGCCTCTCGACCTCTCTCACCTGCCCATCCGCGCCACAAATGCAGCTCTCTGCTTCTTTTGATTCCTTCCTCCCCCCTGGTGTAGCAGGGGTGGACGCCCTCTTTCCTGTTGTGGCCAAAAACCACTACTGTTGGATCTTCTGGCCAGCCCTTCTGCTCTGTTGTACCTCACACCAAAATCCAATCTCTCTCACCCACTGCCTGGGACAACAAAACACATGAAGTCAACTTATGAGTTTATCACTGTTATTATTATTTTTGTAATGCTCTTGTGTTTGACTGTTTTGTGTGCTTCTGGATGCTTCTGGATGCCAAAATGTATCTATCTGTCTGTCTGTCCATCCATCCGTCCGTCCATCTATCCATCCATCCATCCATCTATCTATCTGTCTATCTATTGAACGGACACCACTGTTTCTCCGTTCACTATGACTCATAGGTAGTTCCTCTGTCAACGCCCTGTTGAATAGACTTTTGTGATGGCTTTATAAAAGAGTGGTTGGTTGTGATGGAAGAATAATTCATCTCACATTGACCATCAGGGGCTTTAAAATCCAGATTTAGTCATTCATAAATATGAATAGAGGCATATCCCGGGACTACCACACTGAGACGGAACATCTTGAGTCTCTCTAATCTGCCAGCTAAAAGGGATTTGATCTAGGTAGGAGGGCACCACTGAAAATGAGGCTTACTCGGTTTCCCTTAACTGCATTTGAAATCCAGGACTGAAAAGAAGATTTCAATGCAGGTTGGTAAATGGTAGGTAAATGTCATGTTTTTTTCTTTCTTTTTCTTTCAGAAAGAACAATAGTTGGTTGTCCAGCCTGGAAGCATGCATCACAGGTAATACAAGAGGCCTCATGTACAGTCTGCATTCCTGAAGTGCGTTCTCACTTTTCTTCCATTCTTTTTCTGCCTTTTCCCCCTTCCTGACTTCCCCCTTCCCTCAGCTCCCTAATTAATCTCTCTCTTAATCTCTTCACCTCCATTCCGACTCTATTTTTACCCCTGTAAATCTTCCCTCTATCCTCACCTGTCTTCTCTGGTGGTGAGAATACCGGGAACAATCAGTTTTGGCTCTGTTCGTCCTCTTGGATGTCGGTTTCCATCACCATTCCAACTTTGCATCTCCAAATATTATTTCTGTTCATGTCCCCTTCAAACTGTCGTCTTTTCGTCTGCTCGATCCACGCCACATTCTACACATGCCTTTCACTGAGCCTCTTTCTGTGAAACTTTCTTTCAGCCCGGCTCCATTCACGCACAGTGGTGACCCTGCCAAAACACAGACAAGGGTGCCTCAGCCCAAGCCAACCTCCAGCTCCCAGACCTCTAATTCCCCTCAAACTGCACTGGTACACTCGGCTCACACAGTTCACTCAGCACAGCCCCAACGAGGGACAGCTTTCAAAACCCCTCGTTCTCTTCCATCACACAGACATAGCAGTGGGGAGTGGGGGTCTTACCTCTGTCGGTGCATCCCACAGGCAGGATCAAGCTGTCCACTTTCCTTTCACTTCAACAAAGCGTGCAGCAGTGGTAGTCAAGCGAGAGCAATATGAGAGAGCCAGTCGCCACTCAGGGGCCGTTGCACAAACACCAGCATTGTCCCGCTGCCTAAGTCCCTCCCTCTCGTGGTGACTCCCCTGTGTGACACAGCCGCAGCAACACAGCTCTGCACTAACACAACTTGACATAAACTCATGCCTGTGGAGCTGCTGCCACAACACACGCAAGAGACACACAACAGAGGCAAACACACAATTATAAATTACCAGTGTGTATTGTTTCTGAGAGGATATAGATGAGAAGAACAGAAACAAGCAGAGGCTGTCCATCTGTAATTAGCTTTCTATTCAACAGCCCTGATATTACATAATAGCTCAGGATGCACTGAATGCCACACGTATTCATAGATTTCCAATTACAACTGAGTTAACTGAGATAAATCAGTGTGACCATCGCCATTTGGGAGATTTTACAATTATAAAGTATTTAAAAGAAGACGCATAAAGGATGGAAAGGTTATGTAAGGACATCAACAATAAGAGCATGTGATCTCCACCACAGCAACCACTCAATGCCCCTTGACTATTTTTTCATGAGCATTGATTGATGTATTGATTCCTGGTAATGGAAAAAGAATGAGTGATCAGTGAAAATGTCACTCATCAGCTGCGAAAATCTTTAATTGAAGATGATGTTTTTCTAATAGGTCAGGCCATTCGCTGTTGGAAAAGAGGTGAAAAAATAAAACTGCATGTGTAACCTCTTTTGCAACAGATTCATATTTTTCACAATTGGACTGATTATAAAATGAAAAGATGTTTATAACTGAAGACTGAAAAAATGTAGAGGAAGAAAAAATGCATGATAAATGAAATTGAAACATCTACACATTGTTATGAAGTTTATGGATACTTGTTAAGTACAATAGGACACTGAAATGGGTGAAATGTGGCTCCAGAACTGAAGAAAGTACTAAAAAAACTGGTAGACATACCAAAATACACACTCACAGTAAATGTACACCTTTTGATGAATTTCATAAGGACAAATTTTTGACATGAGTGGCTCAGTGGACATTTTCCACAGCAGACAATCTGACGTGTCATGGCAGAAAACGTGCAGGAGTAATCAATATAATTACCTATGTCTCAATTGTACTTAACTGGAACTGGCTTTCTTGGGTGAAATACAGAAAGCATTACTGTATTTAGTTACACTGGGGCTTTTCCTACGTTGACAAATCAAAATACCTGCTGTGAGAAAATGTCAAGAGGAAACTAAAACCTGGTATGTTTTGTTTCCTGAAGATGAGGATGATAACAAATATAATTACCTATGTCTCAATTGTACTTAACTGGAACTGGCTTTCTTGGGTGAAATACAGAAAGCATTACTGTATTTAGTTACACTGGGGCTTTTCCTACGTTGACAAATCAAAATACCTGCTGTGAGAAAATGTCAAGAGGAAACTAAAACCTGGTATGTTTTGTTTCCTGAAGATGAGGATTATTATTAATAAATGAACACAAATTTATACTAATGACCAATATTTGGGTACATTTAATTTCTGGGTTTCTCCCCATCTCCAAAGTCAGGTTTGTACCGAAGCCTAAAAAAATAACCATCAGTGTAAGTTTTGATCAGACCAGGGTGGCTGCATGTATTCTTCAAATTTCACAAAGATCGTTAATGAGAATTACCGGTTATTTTCCAATTGATAAATCACTGATTACAGTTCATCGTGGACTCTTCTCCTCATTGCATATAAACACAGTTTAGAGAAGCTTGGATTTAAAGATGCAGTACACTCTACCGCTTCCCTGAATTCCCTCACAGCTTACTTACTTTCAGTTTTAATTTGGACCAATAAGCTTGTTGTCACTCAGAGGAGAAACTGGAATGCTCTGTCACCTAGCAACATTCACACTCTGGGACTGATGACCTACAGAATGAGCTGCCATGACACTGACAGCACTGTAAGCGAAAAGCTCTGCACACCATTGGAATTCATTACACACATTTATATTATTTCACTTTCTGTTATTTAGGGGAAGCAACTGGATAAACCTATTTGGCTTCTCACCTCCCCTGCACAAAGTTTTAACTTTTGTTTTACTTAATATTCATCATTACACATTGCAAATGAAACCAGTTTACACACTATTTAGCCACAATATTATAGCAACTGGGCCTGAGGTTGAGCATATTAGCTGATCAGACGCTCTATTCAAGAGTTTGGTCTACAGCAAAATATCTCACTTAACCACTTAACCTTTTGTGATCCCCATGACCCTTCCTCTAGTACTACTTCTAATCTATGAGATCTTCTGTAGTATGGTCACATGTCTCCATCCTGCAGAGTCAACAATTTACTAGGACATCTTATAAGTTTTCATTATTTAGTTTTACTTGGGATCTTAATTATGAAGAAAGAAGTGTCTTCACTTTTTTTTTTTTTTTTAACCTTGCCTTTGAAAGCCTTTAACTCTATTCAAAGCAGTGTGTCTGTGCCATAATTCAAATTTACTTTTACCCATGAGGCAATGATGTCTCATTGGAACTCTCATTATAGAAATAGCTTTGTCCAAAATTAAAATGGCTGCCAGTTTAGCTCCTGCCACTGACTTTACTCAGCAGATACTGTATATTATATACAGTACACAGAATGCATGTATGTGTATATATTATTTACAATACAGCAAATATACTCACACGGTAATGGACCCTCTTCATAATTGAGAACTCATGAGCTTTCCTCTTGCACCACCTTTAGGCCAAAATGTCAACTTTCATGTCCTATAAATCTGATAATGTAATTTTGTGGGTATTAAAAAGCTTTTAATTATAATGAGATCAGTGCCTTTTGTCTAATGCCAACCTTTAGGGCAAACATCGCAGTTTCATTTTTTTCGTGATATTTTCCAAGATAATGTGCTAATTTAAATGCATTCATCAAGTTACTGCGCTGACGCAAGCTATATGAGGAATGATTCATCAAGAGAAAAACTTTTTCTGCTGCTGAAGGCTGATGATGGCCTGGTGGTAATACTACAGGTGATTACGTTTCTTAGTCCCTACCCCAAATACATGAGCTAGTGAGAAAAGTGCCTGGTGGTATATTAAATTTTCTTAGAGAACAAACAGGATTTAATAGATCATACTTGCATTGATCATTTAACTCTGAAAACAGCCTCACAGGAAAAGTGGCCACTGGTCACAGAACTGCAGTGCTGTCTGTTAGCTTGCGTTTGTCACATATTGCGATAGGGGGCGCTCCTGTGTAGTGTGTGGGCCAAAGCTTTCACCAGGGATGTTTACAAAATACAAAGTGTTCCTGACATGTTGCTGTAACCAACATGGATCAGCTGAATGAGCCTATGGGGATTTATTCTTGGTTGAAAACCGTCGTTGCACATGCATGGAAAGGATAGAAAAGTGTTATATACAAGTCTATCACTTGGATGGATGGACTTCATTACAAAAGAGAAGAGAGAGTGAACTCATGTTATTCACTCATTCTTTTTATTTATTTCGGACATATAAATACAAAAGACAAATTATAAGAACAAGTGAAAGAAAATAAACAGAAAACAATATTATTTACAAACAGTAATGAGGGGGAGAAATCAAACACTTAATGGTTTAATCTGCATATTCTAAGAGGAGTGAGAAGAAGTGTTCATCGATAAAGCTCTGTTGTTAAAACTTCCAAAAATACCTAAGCTCTCTTCTCTCATTTAAAACCAGCACGTGTACAGCACAAGACCCAGTGTCTGCTTAACTTTAGACATCCCTCACGTATATATCAGTCTTGTTTTCCCATGTGGTGACCTTTATGAATATTGTGAGTGCAATAATAATCATTTATTGTGATTGTGTTTATTGATTTGTTGCTGATTGTTAATGTTTCTCGTTCTCGGGAAACCTTTCCTGTGAAGCAGATTGATCTCAATGTGACTGCCTGATTGAATAAAGATTTATTTTCAAGTGGAGAAATAGATCATTTCGTTCATTTATTAGTTATCTGAAGCCAAATAATGAAAGTGTCAGTGACTCAGACTGAGAGAACCAGTTACCTGACTGCTTCTGACCGTTGGTTGGTGGAAGTTCAACCTCTTCAGCTGTTCCCTTTAAACGGCTGCTATACTATGGACCCGGTGGGGTACAGCCAACTATAGACTGTTGTTATTACAATAAACACACAAGCGCAGTTGTATTTTGTTTTTACTATTTAAGTTTATTCGCATTATAGATTCACAAGCTTGGATTTTCAAATATTTTAATGCTCCTGTATAGTTTAATATTTATAGTTGAGTAACCCGCCCCCCCTATCCTGGTCGTGTGGTGGTATGTTCCTCCCCATCTGCTCGGCCCCCGGTGAACGTGATAGAAACAGATTGACGCGCTCCCCGGCTCGCGATGGTCGCTGACGGCCGCAGCGAGTGTTGTTGTGTCTGTAATGTTACGGAGACGCCATAAACCGCCGAGGAAACTACTTTCTAATGTGAGAAACAAACGTCCCGCCATTCCTCCGGTCCAAACATGTCCCGGGGATGTACCGTTTCTGTGGAGGAGGTCCAGTCCTGGTGGGAAGTCCCCGCCATAGCGCACTTCTGCTCGCTGTTCAGGACCGCGTTCAACCTCCCCGACTTTGAAATAGAGGTAAACTCCACTCGTGCTCTACTTTCAGCCGCACCAATGTGTTCAATGGCGGAAATGAAAAGTTGTTTGTGTCAGGATTTCTTCATGTCCTGTTTGGTTAACCAGCTTAGCGGCGTTCCGAGAACTTCTCCTTCGTTAACGTTACTAAGGCGATCCTGTTAGGTAAGGAGCTAGCAGGTTCGTTAGCACCGCTTTAAGCTAGCTTTTACGGGCTAACTGCCGGACGTCGAAGTTTATAAATGTCACATCGGGTGAATAAAACTTTAACTTCATTGTCTAGTTATGGTCCAAAGTGTTTGGTAACGCTACGCGTTGTGTATTAATGCTGTTCTGGTCTTGGGTAACTTTTAGGTAGAGCTGACCGTTCAATACAACCATGTGTCGTTCGTTTGTTTTCATTTTAGCCCCATGTTTATGTCGATGAGCGACCCAACTTCTGCTCTTCTAAATAAGAAATGATTGAGATAACACGAGACTTGAGAAGGGGAAGGGACACACAGAAGCGGAACTTGATCGTCATCTTAATTCGATAACAATCGTGCCACTGTACTAATGCGTTTGTGGGTCGAAAAGTCGCACATTGACTTGAATTGAGGGCTGTTCCCGGTGAATACACTGTACTACAGCAGTTTATTGAAAACGTATTTTCTATATCAAATAAAGTTAAGTTCATGGCGTGAGGCTCGAGTTTATTGTCTTGGAGTTGCAAGCCATCTGGCTCGGAGTAGCCATAGGGACGCAGATGCTGTTCAGGCATTGTTTGCTCGCCCAAGTCCCATTTTGCTGCAAGAAGTGACGCTTTAAACGATTATTACTTATATCTGTGCTCTACCAGAAGTAATAGAGGTACAACCACCCACCTGCGCTTCCTTCTACTTCTGAATATACACAATTTATTACACCACGATCTCACAATTCAACTTTATCGTTAGACCCCCCACCCTCGTCTGCTCTTTGATAATCTGTTCTTAGTTTACAGAGCTGTTAATTCCAATATACATCTATCCCCGTGTTACATCAGAGTTAATGGAGATTTGTTCAATCCTTCGAAGAATCATTGCACTTTAAAGAAATTGGTAAGGTCAACACCACGCATCAACAGTCTCCATCACTCATTCATCCCCACCCCCTTCCTTCCACGGAGAGAAACACACGCTCAGGCATCGCTTTGTTATTGAACGAGGTGCAGGGCAGATGGGGGGGGGGGGGTCGCGTTGAGTTTAGTTTACATGAAAGTTGTATGCTGTTACTTTTCTGCTGTTTGGATTAACTGAAAATATTTTTGTGTAGGGAAACTGATCCGTTGAACTGCCTGATTAGATTTTTTTTTTACGAGGGTGGATGAAATATTCGTCTTTAACCGCATCACTAAGCGCATCACATGTGTGGATACACCCCTTCAAATGGATTTAGTGGAAATATTGAGATTGATATAGTAATTATCTTATGCGTGGACATCTTAATCAGGTGCACAAGTGTTCAAGGTCATAACTCCTCTGGTTCTCTGTCATTATCTGCAACTGCAGTGATAATAATGGCTAGATAGCAAACAGGACAAGAAACCCAAGGCTTTAGGACTTTGATTATTGTCGTTCCACTTTATACAGAAACTAAAAATTGAGTTAATCTTGCCACATATTTGTGGTGTAAGCACCCTGCTCAAATTACTGCATTAAATTTATAAGCCCACTGGGGCATGGGATGGTTTCTTTTTCAATTTAGCAATATGTCAGTCCTGTTTCCTATTTTGTGATACTAGGCTCAAAATGTATTCCTAGGGTCTGATTCTCACTTCTCGTGGGCTTTTAAAGGGACCACGCGTAAACTAATTAAACATTTGGGCAGAATTATTTTTAATGTGGGGAAACGATGTTAGAATCCATCATAACTGATCACATGTAAGGAAAAAACAAATGTTAAGCCTACACATTGTGATGGCGTCACATTAGACATGTATTTTCAGCCCTGGGTAAAGTTATCATGGGTCATTTACAAAGGATGAATTAAGCAAACTATTGTTTGTTTATTAATGGATTTGAATTTGTATGTGCTATTAACAAATTGTTATAAACCAAAGTGCACGTGTCAGGATTACAAAATGTGTCTTGAGCAACATAATGAGTGCCTGTACAGTGTTTGAAACAAGAAAGCATGTTTTTCCATCTGTCCTTTGTGTTTTTGTGTTGACTGTAGCAGGGTGTTTTCTTAGATTGTTGTATACAAATCCTATGTATTTTATGCCAGTTGGTGTAAAGTTAATTTGGCTGTGGAGTCTTTTTTATTCTGCCAAAGATCTAGGTAAAAGCTCAGAGTTGAGCTCTTATTTATGTATGGCCAATTCTGTTCCATGTGCCATATTTCCTCAGGCTGTTGTCCATGTCGTGTGGCTATTTTGTCTTCAGATCAAATTGTATAATATGTTGAAAATCCCAAGTTGTACAGTAGCTTCATTCATTCTTCTTGTGTGTAGTTAAAACCAGCTGGTAGATTGTAATTCAGAAAAAACAGTATGCATCTAGTCCGACTGTTCAGCTCATGTCTGACCTCTCTCTTGGGTTCTGCTTTCACACCTGTGTGCACCCATCAATTTATTGTTTGAAGCAGGCTTTTGGTCAGATGCCATTGATATGAAGATTAAAAATTAGGCAGTGTAGACGACCTCAATCAAACTTTTTCAGATCCTTTTTTTTCGTTTCAGATACTAAGCGGAGGGCTGCACACAAGTAGCTACACTTGGGATAAAACATTATACAAAGGATGATTGATCATTCCATGGCCTAAGGTAGAAGGAGTCATTTTTAACCCAAGTGCAGCTCTACATACTTAATCCATAATTTGTAGAGCATGTGGGTCCTTTCTTTGTAGGTGTCGGTTTTGTAGCTGTCTCCTGTGGGTTTATGGTGACTGGCCCTCCAGGACAGGGCTCATCTTCCAGACTCAATCTGCTAACTTATATACCATGCTGTAAAAAGGGCACGTTCCCAGAGTGTTGCCACCATGACTGCACAATGCCAGATTCTGTCAGTTTTCTGAAGTATCGCTGACTACAGTTGTAATTAACTTGTAGAAGGAAGAGGAAGTTGTCACGCAGGCATGTTTGTTTTGCTTAATGCCACATACCAGCAACAGGACAAGCTGGCCTGGGCACTTCTCACCAGTGTAGCACTTTGGCTGACTCGTTTACCTCTACCTTTTATCTTGCCTTCATTTGTCTTGTCATTCAGTATAATTGTGACATCATAAAAAAACTTTCAAATATAATTCAACATTTTTCCCCTTCCTCATACAAGCTGTTAAAGCTGTGTGAGAATGGTTGGGTGATGTTGTTCAGCTATAGTTATGGCCTATCTGTGGATATACATGTTAAATTCCTCAAGAATAAGGGGTTGGGAATGGGGGCAGGAAGTGGCCATCAGTGGTCAAGACAGAGTGGGGGGCGTCGAGTGATTTCACTCTGGTCTGGGCTTAGGTGTCAATAGCCTGACATGCTATCAGTCCTACCTTGTAGACACAGTGTCATATGTTGGTTGCTGCTGACTTGTATCAGGCTTTGCTACCTGGCCCCCATGTTATACCAGCAGAGGGTTGATGTTGTGGCCTCTGAGGGCCGTAACCAACTCTGCACATCAGTACTTCTGTGTGTTTCCATTCCTAGTTTTTCTCTCTGGTGTCAGGGAGATTCATAAGAAGGGTGTGGGACACATACCTGCACAGCATTAGTTTGATTGTGGAGCTCAGTTGTAAAAAGTGTAAGCCTTAGGATCTTGTTGGTTTGGTAAGAGTCTTTTAAGGGAAGATAACTCAAGATGGCTGATGCTCCCGACTGTCTGTCTGTAATTGCTTCACTGAAACACCTTCTTATCCCCATTGTGGAAACCTTTATAATTAAAGCCACATTTGAGATCACAGTGTTTTGCACGCTATGAAACCACTACCAGGGTGGATGTTGAAACTCACTGATCCAGTCCAACAATGCTGCTGTGGTACTGTTTCAGCTGCTGGTCAGTGATAATGGTGTCTCCCCCCACCCTCCTTGGCTGGTCTTACAAAACAGCCCCCTGCACATTGTTCCTGTGCTGATACACTTCACTGTCGCTGGTTTCCACTTTCCTCCGACTGCAAGCAGGGAGCTGTGTGGGTGAGATGGAGAGGAAAGAAAGAATGAGTGGGAGGGAAGGGGAAAGAGGGGAAGTGGAGAAAAGTGTCCTGGAGAAGTGAGGAAGCAAGAGGACATTAGTATGAAAGCGCAAAGTGTGATCTACAAGAAGGAGGCCCAAGGTCGACATAATCCCCCCCTCCCTGCCTGGCTTTTTTTCCCAGTGGCGTATGCTTGATTTCTTGGCTATGTATCTGTGAAATTATGCCTGAAATCCCGCAGCTAATGCACACGGCAGACCTCCGATTCTGGATCCTCAATAATGTGCCCTCTATCGCCAGACGTGGCCCTTCATGACAGGGACCTTTTCCCCTGTCAACTCCCCACTCCGTGCTCTGCTGGCAGCCTGCTTGGCACATTGTCGTGCCTCTATGCCATGTGTCTTCATCATTGTCATCGTCTACATCGCTGTTTTGATAATGTACATTATCAAATAGAAATTTCTAAGCATTTAAACAAGACCTGGCATGTATATTTGTTGTTTTTATGTGCAGATTACTAATATAGCACTTTGAGTTTGTCATGATGCAGATGTTGGTGTGAAAGCCCCATAATCCCATCTTCCGGCTCTAACACATTGTTCCATTTATACTTTGAAAGTCGTGGCCCATATGGGTTAGAGAAGCTGTTCTTTTACTGCAGATCTGGTTTAAGTCCTGTCTCAGAAGACTTTGTCGCATTTGGCAGGGGGTCATTGCCACCCTGGTGTGAGAAGAATGGCACCTGCTGCTCCCACGTGCCAGAGTTGATTCCATCCATATGAAACATACTTGATGATTATAACCTATCATATCCACTAAAAAATATCCATATACATACCATAAAGACTGGATGTGCAGAGACA